AAGGGGTGAAGAAGCCAAGTTATCCCGCTATCTAGCAGTAGGTATTTCTTTCTTTCACTGCTAAGTCTTTGTCTTCATTGTATACCCAAATAATGATATATGGTGGGGTGTCAGATCTTGCCCACTGATTGGCTGATAGACTGTGAAGCGAGTCCCCTCCAATGAAAAACAAATTCTCGTCCGCCATTTCATATGTTTGGATAAGCTCACGCGTCTATATTTAATCATGATTTATCGACCCATGTGCACGTTTAGTATTGTCTCTGCAGCATGAAAAATTAACATTCTAATTTCCACTGATGTGCAGTGGATACTTTTCACTGTGTTGGATCATTTTCCATAACGCAAGTCATTCTTCATTGGGATATCAGCTGCACTTTGCAGCATCATTTTATAACTGCTTCCAGATTAAAGCCATTTGACAGATTTTCGTCTGCATTTTTATGTTTTTGTAAAGTACAGATTTCTCACATTTTAAATGCATCTAATTGCAAATTATGCTGTGACATTGTTTGGTGTGGGGTAAATGTCCCCAAAACTTTAATTTATTGACAAGGAAAGTTCCATTTTGTGTCGCAGTCCCTTGAAGTATGGGAGCTGACTCTGTACATATGTTGAAACAGATGGGTCTTTGCTTTGCACAGATTTTTTTTTCTTTCTTCCTGGCAAATCTACTGACATTGTATATATTACCATATTACGTAATATTATTGCATTAAATATTGCATGTATGAGCGACTTTGAGTGCTTACAGGAGGACAGGCACTTGTTGATCGTTCAGATTGCATACTAAATACTATGGGTTCTGCCATTATTTAAGGTATACATATAAATCAGTGGTCAGGATTTGCCCATCTGTGGTAGGGGCCCTTATAGCTGCCTCGATCTCTCAGTAAATGCCACCATTTAGACATTGCAAGTTTCAGCTTGAGAGAGCCAGAAACTCTGACCAGTACCGGCTGGTACCTCTACCCAACCATCATGCTATAAAACTATAATTGCCAGAGATAAAATCATCTTGTAGATTCTTCCTGTTAGAGAACAACTTCAAGGTTGTTTTTAATTTGGAGAAAAAGAGTCAAGTGGACAAGTCCATTAGATACATTTAAATATATCTATATGATAGGTTTAGCTGTGTGATGCTTGATGGTCTTACATATCAGGAAGTAACAAACACATAGCAAGGTGAGGGAACCTCGTCCAATAATATATACACAAAAATAGTAAAATAGTCAATGTATTGCACTCTTTCCCCAATTCCTCTTAAGTGCCAGGTGCTAAAAAGCCAAAGTGTGTATATATATATCTCATACAAAATACACAATCCAGCACACTCGCTCATTCACTAAACAGGAATTTCAAGACTTACAGATTGTAATAGTTTTATTTAAAAACACCTTGTGTAAGCCAAAAATAATGGGGGTTTAGTTACAGTGTATGGTCATACGTTGCAGAAGCCGGCTACAACGTTAATGTACCCCATTCTTGGCAGGTCCTACTCTAGATCCTAATACTTGCCCTTATTTAATCCACTTACTTGGGGAGTTCTTACTGGGACTCTCTGCAGGTCAAAGCTAAATAGGGCTCTTGAATGAGGCACCTGTGACATGGAGGGGTGCAAAACCAAGGACTATATATTATATAGTAAGCAATAATAATACAATGAGCTGCAATGATACTGTGAGCTGCAATGATACAATGAGCTGCAATGATACGATGAGCTGCAATGATACTGTGAGCTGCAATGATAGTGAGCTGCAATGATAGTGAGCTGCAATGATACTGTGAGCTGCAATGATACAGTGAGCTGCAATGATAGTGAGCTGCAATGATACTGTGAGCTGCAATGATACTGTGAGCTGCAATGATAGTGAGCTGCAATGATACTGTGAGCTGCAATGATAGTGAGCTGCAATGATACGGTGAGCTGCAATGATACGGTGAGCTGCAATGATACGGTGAGCTGCAATGATACGGTGAGCTGCAATGATACAGTGAGCTGTAATGATACAGTGAACTGTAATGATACAGTGAACTGCAATGATATGATGAGCTGCAATGATGCAATGAGCTGTAATGATACAGTGAGCTGCGATGATGCAATCAGCTGCGATGATGCAATGAGCTGTAATGTTACAGTGAGCTGCGATGATACAATGAGCTGTGATGATACAGTGAGCTGCAAAGATACGATGAGCTGCAATGATATGATGAGCTGCAATGATACAGTGAGCTGCAATGATTCGATGAGCTGCAATGATGCAGTGAGCTGCAATGATGCAGAATGATGCAATGAGCTGCAATGATACAGTGAGATGCAATGATACAATGAGCTGCAATGATACAATGAGCTGCGATGATACAATGAGCTGCGATGATACAATGAGCTGCGATGATGCAGTGAGCTGCGATGATACAATGAGCTGCGATGATACAATGAGCTGCGATGATGCAATGAGCTGCAATGATGCAATGAGCTGCAATGATGCAATGAGCTGCAATGATACTGTGAGCTGCAATGATGCAGAATGATGCAATGAGCTGCAATGATACAGTGAGCTGCAATGATACAATGAGCTGCGATGATACAATGAGCTGCAATGATGCAATGAGCTGCAATGATGCAATGAGCTGCAATGATACAGTGAGCTGCAATGATGCAATGAGCTGCAATGATACAGTGAGCTGCAATGATGCAGTGGCTGTAGTGTTTATAACTTCCGGAGCACCCCCTGTTAAGTATCCTCTACCTAGCAGTACTTGCTGGTTTTGTTGTTTTTTTTTGTATTAGTTTAGATTAGAGATTCCAGCATTGTGCTGGAACTTTGGTTTCTTTTAGTACCATCCTGTTTAAGCAGCAGGAATTTTTTTGGAGCGCCAGCAGCAAATTTAATGCAAATAATTTCAAAATAAATGTTGAATATAGCTACATTTTATACCCTCCTGTATATGTCAGAAAACAAGTTTTGGTGTGCTCCGGAATATATCAGGTGCAGTCAGTAGGAGTGTAAGGGGCTGCAGTAATCGCGCTCCAAGGATTATTACTACACCTCTGGCCTTCGCGCCCTCACTAACTAACTACAGGTCTTTACTGCCTTAAAGCTGCATATTAGTGTAGCATTTCACAAGTCAAAAGCCATAATTACTGATAAATTTAACATTAACTTTTTAATTAAGCGTCTAGTTTGTCAAGCTGGGATAAATTGTGATGTTCAGCTGCAACTAATTAAGCCTGAAGGCCTGACACATGAAATACAGTGTATCAGATCTGACATTTCAACATTCCTCAAACTATTTTCTTTCACTCAGTAATTGCAAGACTCATTTGTAACTGATACAACCATTATTAAAGCAAGGCTCGCCAACTATTTGATATCTGGCAAATATTGAAGTGTACATATGGTCTAATAGAGTTTAAGGCATCATTATTATTAGATGCCTCATTAATGACTTACAGATAGATATATAGATAATACAGATATAACACATCTAATTAGGCATTAGCACCTGCTTTAAAGATTCATTTTTAATGTCTACAAATATAGTATTTATATTTCTAACAAGAAAAATGTGTTCTTTAAGCAGCATAACCACAACAGCTTTTTGTATCAATATAGCTCATTGTTTTTTTTTTATTATTACAGCTCATTGTATTGTTGCAGCTGATGGCAGCTCATCGTATTGTACAATGGCAGCTCATCGTATCATTGCAGCCCAACACTGGTGAAAATATCTGTATTAATATATTCAGAGTTTTCTTACATATTTGATTTCTGGTACTATGCAATTGCTGTTTTTAACAGAGATCTTCTGGGGTAACAAGAAGTAAAATCTACAATTATATTGCTGTGCTTGTTATTCTCATATATCTATTGCTTTTTGTGCACCATTTGTCAGTCATTATGAGTAAAGTATATAATGGATTAATAATTGCTAAGTAGCTCGTCCAATGCACTTATCAGTCCAGAAGAAGTGCAGCTTGAGTCAAAATTGATCTCTTTTCATAAATAGCTTAAAAGGTGTTGTAATTGGAAGCATTATTGTGTAATCTATAGCACTATATTTTATTACAATGGATTGCATTGTTCCTGTAAATGGTTTTATTTGGGAGATGCATGGGGTGGAGGGAGGTATACACATTTTGAGATGAAATGGCACATATTTAATTAAAGGCACAGTGGCAACAATGAGGCAGAACTTGATGTAAGTACATATCCCAAACTGCTTGGTTATCCCCATACAAGCAGATTTGTCATGTTGAGGGATCGACTGATATTGATTCTTTTAGAGCCGATACCGATATTCTGTGAACTTTCAGGCCGATAGCCGATATAATTTGCCGATATTCTGTACATTTACCATTTTGGAAAATAGAAGCTATTTCTAAAGGTAAATGCACAAAATATACATGCCACGTGTAGTGGATGCAGTGTGTTTAGAGCTGTGTGTGTTTGTGTAGTGTGTGTGTAGTGGATGCAGTGTGTGTTTGTGTAGTTTGTGTTTGTGTAGTGTGTGTGTAGTGGATGCAGTGTGTGTTTGTGTAGTGTGTGTGTGTAGTGGGTGTAGTGTGTGTGTGTGTAGTGGATGCAGTGTGTGTTGTGTAGTGTGTGTGTAGTGGATGCAGTGTGTGTTAGTGTAGTGTATATATAATGAAAGCAGAGTGTTTGTGTAGTGTGTGTATATAATGAATGCAGAGTGTGTGTTTGTGTAGTGTGTGTATAGTGAATGTAGTGTGTTTATATAATGCAGTGTGTGTATTATATACACACACACACTGCATTATATACACACACAATACAAACACAATGCATTATATAAACACACTACACAAACACAGTGTGTATAATGCAGTGTGTTTGTGTAGTGTGTTTATATAATGTTTATATAATGCAGTGTGTTTGTATTGTGTGTATATATAATGCAGTGTGTTTGTATAGTGTGTGTATATAATGCAGTGTGTTTGTGTAGTGTGTTTATATAATGCAGTGTGTTTGTGTAGTGTGTATATAATGCAGTGCGTTTGTGTAGTGTGTTTATATAATGCAGTGTTTGTATAGTATTATATAAACACACTATACAAACACACTGCATTATATACACACACTATACAAACACACTGCATTATATACACACACTATACAAACACACTGTATTATACACACACACTATACAAACACACTGCATTATATACAGAGTGTGTTTGTGTAGTGTATGTGTATATAATGGAGTGCGTGTGTGAGGGGGCATTTTTTTATTAAATTATTTTATTTTTTTTATATTTAATTATTATTATTTATTTTTGTTGTCCCCCCTCCCTGCTTGTAACCTGGCTGGGGAGGGGGGATATAGCAGTCTCTGGTGGTCCAGTGGCATTGGCTAAGCTGTGAGGGGGCCGGCTGCAAGTGTTTACTCACCTCCCAGCAGCTCCTCCAGCTCCCCTGTGTAAGTCTTGCGTACCATGGTAACCCGTGGCAACGCTCTGACAGCCGCGGGTCTTGCGAGACTTACACAGGGGAGCTGGAGGAGCTGGGAGGTGGGTAAACGCTTGCTGACGGCCCCCCCGGAAAGGACCGCCGGGCTTGTAATGAGCCTGGTGGTCCTGTTATATATTATCTGCAATATCAGTATCTATATTGGCCGATCCCGATATTGCCGAAAATACCGAACATCGGCCGATAATATCGGTAAAACCGATAATCGGTCAATCCCTAGTGTTTCGAAAATCCCCCACTAATGCCAGTACTTCTCTAAAAATGATTATTCACAGGCAGTTTTCCTGCTGTTGCTCCAATTCATCGGGATTTGCAGTTTCCTGCAGCAAACTCTGTCTAGAATTAGAAATGGCTGACGTGTAAGCCAATCATTGCCATCCCATTATTTTGAATTGATGTACTGAACAAAAAGGATGTGTTCCTTTCACCAAAACATTTGAACAAAGCTTCTGCTGAAGCCATTGCTCACCAGTTGCTCTATTGATTATTTTTCAGATAATGGAAAAACATTGTGATTGGCTGAGATCACCACTTCTGATGATGCCAGCTAAGCAGGCAGATCAGCAAGACTTGACTTGGTATAAAGAGACACAAATAGTAATGGTAAACTACAAATTGAGCGCAGTCTCACACATCATGATAAAATACACAAGCAGCAAATGTCTCTAGGTACATACCCTACAATCACGGACTGTCTCAAGGTAAATACCCTAGACAATTACTGACTGTCTCTAGGTAAATACCCTAGACAGCCACTGACTGTCTCTATGTATATTCCCTAGACAACCACTGACTATCTCTAGGTAAATACCCTAGATGACCACTGACTGTCTCTATATACATACCCTAATCAACAGCAGACTTTCTATAGATGCATAATTTTGACAACCCATGAATCTCTGTAGGTATATATATCCATATTACCCACCGTGTGTTTCTACATACCCTAGTCAATGCCTACTGACTCTAGATACATACCCTTAACAACCACCTACTGGATCCCGGTGTATACCCTCATCAACAATACACTGTCTCTAGGTATGTAAACTTATTAAGCACCAATTGTCTCTAGGTCCATACCATTATCTACCACAGACTGTCTCTAGAAGCATCATTTTATCAACCGATGAATGTCTCTAAGTACATACTCATATCATCCACTTTGTGTATTTAGGTACATTTCTTTATCAACCACAGTGTGTTTCTTGGTACATGTACTTATCAACCACCAACTGTCTCTATGTATATTATGAACCACCAACTGTCTTTATGTACATTATCAACCACCAACAGTCCCTATGTACATTATAAACCACCAACTGTCTCTATGTATATTATCAACCACAAACAGTCCCTATGTACATTATCAACCACCAACAGTCCCTATGTACATTATAAACCACCAACTGTCTCTATGTATATTATCAACCACAAACAGTCCCTATGTACATTATAAACCATCAACTGTCTCTATGTACATTATCAACCACCAACTGTCTCTTGGTAGATACTCTTTATCAACCCCAAACTGCTTCTAGGTACACACCGTTGTTACACACCAGCTGGGTACCTACTCTGATTAATTACTGCTGTCTTTGGTGACACATCCTATTGAAGTGTTTACTGTTTTGACTTCCACAACTGTCTCTTGAGTATTGCCCTAACCTACTCTGTCACTGGAGAGATACCCTAATCACAGCAAATTATAAGTAGAACTAAACAAAGGCCAGGTAATTGATGGTTAATAAAATATCTGTTTGAGGAAAGTGAACTGTTTAAAGGTACACACCATAGATTGTTTATAGAGAAGTGTATGCATATAATAACTTTGTATGTGTGCTACATGGGACAATAATGAAGACGACATCTTCGTATTATTTAGTGACAGAAATTGTTATGTATCATAGACACTTTGATAAACAAGCTGAGCAGAATACTACAGAAGTATCTTTCTCTCATATGAGATAAATAAGAGCAATTTGATGGATAGACTCCATAACGGTGATATTGTTAAACTCCTCTTTATGCGTTGTACTAGATTGTCACTTTAGTATGAGCATCCTTGTAACCGCGTCTGAATTAATCCCCACTGTCACTCTCCTGACTGTGTGTTTACAAATCATATCGCAGCTGCAATATTACAGCGTTCCCTCTTGATCGAATCTGTTTCAGCACTCCAGGAAGTGATAGCACACATCAGTCTTGAAAAGGGTGAATTTCATTCAAAGGTTTGTGGTAACTGATCCATGTTATGCTGCAATGGTGCACGTGACTTATATAGCAGCCAGTTTACTATTCTATTCGCCCACTTGGCTACCATCCCTCCTTGATTACACTGCAGCAGGGCACAAGGATATATTAGGCTTCCACGTCGCTACCTCTAGAAAGACAAACAAAATAAATAAATAATGAAGGAATGTTGTATAATGACATTAACCGTCACACTATTTTACAACCTGCCAGTTTTACTGACCTCTCTTTATAGGGGAAACAATGTAAATAAAGATTAGTGAATGCTGAGTGCAGATTTGGAGGAGAAATGTATTTACTCTTGTTTGCGTCTCCAAGTCACTTTCAAGCGCCTAAAATGAGAAATCTAGTGTCTAAATAAACTGCAATTATTTTAATCCAAACAAATGTGCAAAAACCTTTATAAAAAACCACACAACTCTTAAAACATGTAAGTGCAGAAACCGCAAAGTAATCCTAACTCAAAACGTAAGCAAAATAACTTTAAAGAAAGACAAATAAAACGTGAAGAAACACATTATATACAAATTATGTAAAAACAAGACTGGCGCTGTTTTATAAATCTGCTATTCTACCGGCCTTGCTGGTAATTACTATTCTCATAGAAAATTGCATATAAACTCCAAGCAATATACGTCTATAGCAGGAAATAATATCTTTAAATTAAACTGACTAGAGAATCATATTGCAGATAATCCAGTATTTTCTAGTGCAGATGAATACCAAATAAAAACTGTGGGGAGTAAATCTAATAATATACTGCCAATGAGGGTGTACATACATATAATAATTGTGGCAGAATAGACTACTTTTAACTGTGATTGCCACAAAAAGAATATTTCATTTGTTAACATGCACCACCATAAAGATGGTCAATCTACAGCTCATTAAAGGGTTACTCCAACCCTCTCTTATATATGTTGAGTACTAGTTAATAGGACCCTCTAATTATTATTTTGGAAAACACAAAAAAATTAGGTTTAAATATTCCTATAGCGAAGCTATAATATGCGCCGTACATGCGCATTAGGTCCCACCATCGTTGTGATGTCCCGGTAGGAGACCTAGTCAGTGCTGAGGTATCCTCCCACAATGCCACAAAGGTAAAAGTACCGAATGAGCGTATGCGGCACATTGACTCAATTCTTTCCAAAGCGTGAGAATGTCCAACGTCATTTAACAGAGTTTTGACCAGGAAGCACCTTTAATGGCTGTGTGGAACAATGTGGTATTGTATTTTCTCACAACTGCACCCACACCACTTCAATGAGTGTCCCTTTCAGAATATTTCTGTGTTTTGCTGAGCTTAGTTTTCCATCAGTGCTGAACAGTCGTTGTCAATAAGAAAAACACCCTCAAAACAGGAAGCTACCACCACCGTGCTTCACCATTGGGATGGTATTCTGCTGGTGTTGAGCAGTGTGTGGTTTCCTCCCGACATGGTGCTTTGAATTGAGGCCAAACAGCTCAATTTTCTTTTCATCAGACCAGAGAATCTTGTTTATCACTGTCTGAGAGTTGTGCTTTTTCACCAGTTCTAAGCCGGCTTTCCTGTTTCCCGTCTGGCCAGTCTGCCATTAAGGCCAGATTGGTGGAGTTTCTCAGTGATGGTAGTCCTTTCTCAAGTTTCTCTCATCTCCACACATGATCTCTTTAGCTGACCAAGAGTGTAATTATGAGGTATTGCATGCAGATTGATGTCAAAAAGGGTAAAAAAAAAAAAAAACAATTGTAGCATAAAGCAATATAAAAAAATGTCAGGTTCTGAATCGTTTCTGAATGCACTGTTTGTACTGCAATAGATAGTATGTAACTAAATCTATTAATCACATAATCGAAATTTGTAAGCAAGCGGTTTCCTCACCCGGTATACTTATCCTTAAGATTCCAAGCTTAGTATTATTGACACAAATTGTGTGTTAACTTGTGGTAACCCCATGTTTAGGATTGGAGATTGTTTTGTTATGTAGCTTTGCTATTCCTTTATCAGTGCTGCTTTTCAAGAGGTTTTTCTACAGTGACATGGGAATCCTTGCCAACATCTAATGGAAAAGCTTTGTATTGACCCCAAATCACCAGCCAATTTGATTTAAAGGAGAATGAATTGTCTCCTTGGTTCATCATCTCTGACAGCATGTATCGCCTTGTGATTTCAGCTCACTCTTTGGAATCCAGCCTATGTTTAAAGCAAACTAACTGTCCAAATGTATTCAGTTGTTGAAATGTTCCATAGCAGTCCTGATTATCATGTTTTATTGCACTGGAAGGAGTTTAACTGTGAACGGGTTAAGGATTTTTCTTTGGACCATGCGCAACACTTCATTTGCTTTATACTAGAAAAGGTGATGCTTTCTAGTTTCCC